CTCTCTCTTTCTTGAGAGATTAAATCTGAATTCACTCTCAGCCTTAAGAGTTTCCATCAGGAAATTCTGTCAGCTCCAGCGACAATCTGCAATTGTGTGCTGCCCCTGCCCCCTCTCCAAAGGGAACAGGGACATCAGCTGACATTTAACCCTGTGCGGGCTCCTTGAGGTAAATGATCTCGTGTCACCTGCAGGGTGAGGCGGGGCTGTGACTATCTGTTTTTTTTTTTTTTTAATAACTTGGTGGTTTGAAATAGTTGAAGACTCACAAGAAGTTGCAAAAAGAGCAGAGTCCTCATGGACCTCGCTCCCAGTGCCCACCCAGGATGGCCACGGCACGCTGTGAATGTGAGGAACTAGACTTGGGCACAATGCCTCATAGCTTATGCAGATTTTATCAGTATGTATATGCAGTTTTTTTGGATGGTGGTACCAGGGATTGAACCCAGGGGCACTCAACCCCTGAGCCCCATCCCCAGCCCTATTTTGTGTTTTATTTAGAGACAGGGTCTCACTGAGCTGCTCAGGGCCTCACTGTTGCTGAGGCTGGCTTTGAACTCAGATCCTCCTGCCTCAACCTCCCGAGCTGCTGGAATTAGAGATGTGACCCACCATGCCCAGCCACTGTTTTCTTTTAGAAAAATAATTCTATGACATTTTAGCTCATGTTTAGATGAGAACAACTATCACCATATCAGATTATAAAATCTTTCCTTCTCCACAGTGAAATTCCCTTGGGTTACTGAATAATGAATTCACCTCCTTTCAACTCTAATCTCTGAAAAGCAGTAATCTATTTCCCATCACCATAAATTCATCACTTTAAGAAAGTTATAGAAATGGAATCATCTACTATGTAGCCTCGACGATCAGTTTTTTTTCACTCAGCATAATACTCTTGAGATCCATCTAAGTGGTTGCAGCTCTCCATAGCTCATTCCTTTTTTCTGGCTGAGTAATATTCCACTGTATGGATGTACCATAGTCTATCCACTCACCAGTTGAAGGACTGCCGGTTATTTCCAATATGGGATATTTACAAATAAATTGTTATCAGTGATCACATACAGGTTTCTCTGTAATTATCCAAACTTAACAGATGAAGTCACAGACGTGATAGAGATCAAGTCACTTGAACAATGTCAAGCTGCCAGCAAGTTGAATGAAGATTTGAACCCAGGTGGTGACTCCAGAGACTGTGCTCTCAGCCATCGGCAAGACTGAAAATCCTGTCGTTGAAAATGATTAACCTAAAAAGCTAATTAACATGCCAGGAAGAAGCATTGTGTTTATCAGAGGTTTTATGCGCCACACATTCTTGGAGACGCGGCAAGATGGTAAGAATCCAAATCTGCAGAGCGGGGTTGAGCACTGGGCTTGGTACAGGGGTGCAGCCCACCCCTGCCCCACGTAGTTCTCTCCTCCTGCCATGAAGCTCCGTCTGGTTGGGGAGCCTCTTGCTACTCCCTGAACTCCCAGAGCTCCCGCCCTTTGGTTCTTCTTACCTGGTCCGTCTGCCCCAAACGCCCCTCCCCCATGTCCCCTAGGGTCCCTTCTATCAACAGGTCCTTCCTTGGAGAGTCCGGGACATCCTCCCTGCACCGCAGTGATGTTCTTGGCCCCAGGAATGTTTCTCTCTTCCATAAACAGGAGTCTACTTGAAGGTCCCCAAGGGCCAGGGAGGTTCGGGGCACTGAGCTGAAGCCCAAGAAGCGCAAATAAGTAATCTGCAGCCCCCGAGCTAGCGCAGTCCCGGGTGCAGGTGCACAGAGACGCAGAGATGCGTGGGCGAGAACGCACAGCCCCAGCAGGCCTGGGTGTCGGGGCCCTGGATCCAAAGCCTGGCTGGGCTCTCCTGGGCCCACTTCCTGCCTGCTGTCCCGTGGGAGGAGGAGTTACGGAGAAGACCCATGAGGACCGAACCTTCTCCCTGGATCGGCTCCCGAGGGGGAGCTGGGGCAGCCGGCGAGACCCCAGCACCATGGCAGCTGGCTGCACCCGTGTCCCCTGTCCCCTGCCTCTCCGCCTCTGCACTGTCCACCGCCAGACAGAAGGGCTTCAGGGTGCTGGAGCAAGACCAGAGGGAACAAGGGGGCCGGGAGGGACCCACGGCCTCCAACGCAGGCCTCCTCCACGCCCAGACCGTAAAGGCAGAGGCCCCCTCCACCTGCCGCTCACTCCCCCCGGGACCTTTCCCGTTGGCTCTGCCTTTGATTTCCTCCCTCCGTGGCCTCTGCTCCCCATAAAACTCAATCTCGTTTAGTTTTCAATTCAATTAAGGGCCAATCATTCCACCCACGAGGCCACACATTGAAACTGTGGTCACTAACTCAGCTGGGGACCTGGAGGCAGGGAGTTGGAGAGGTTTCTGGGGACCCAGCCCAGGTGACTATAGGGTAGAGACCACAGGGGGGCAGAGAAGGACCCCCCTGCAGGGCAGTTCTGACTTTAGACATTACTGTGTGACCTTGGCCAAGAGACGTCCTCCTCCAGCCTCAGTTC